AAATTTTGGTCAATGACATGAGACAAAGTATATGTGAACTGCTGTATGAAAAGTGAATTTACTCTGTAAATCTTCACCCAAATCCTAATTAAAAAAAAAATAATAATAAAAAAATAAAGCCACTGAAGAAAATGTAATGAGAGAGTAAAAACTAGGTTACAATGTAAGTATATAACCAAACCAAGCTTACTGCTGTTGAGTCGGATCCAACTCATAGCGACCCCTCCTTGGGTTTCAGAGGTGGTATCACTATGGAAATAGATTGCCCAATCTTCCAAGGAGTGGCTGGTAGGTTTGAACCGCCAGCCTTCTGGTTAACAATCAAATGCCTTTGGCACTATGCTACCACAGCTCTCCCAAGTACATAAAGTACTATTGAAAAATTGAAAAAAAATAAGATAGACATGCACATCCCTATATAAACACAGGAAGAAGACTTAAAGGATCTATACAAATAAGTTAATAGTAATTATTTCTGGATGACTTGTAAAATTTAATTTTTGTATAATAAAAGCACATGGTATAAAATTCAAGGCTATCCTTGAAGAATATGAGAAAAATAAGCCTTCTTCCTTCTCCTTCTCATAGCCATCTAGTTTCCCACCTGAAGGCAACTATTCTTACCTGACTTTTATCCTTTCAGAGTTACACTGTACATACAAAAACACATACATATGTATTCTCTCACCACCACCATGGCAACATATCCTACACATTATTCTGAGTCTTGCTTTCTTCACTTAATGCTATCTCTTAGAAATCATTCCATTTCAGCAACCTCAATCTTTTAAATGAGAGCATAGTATTTCATTGTATAGATATGCTACAATTTATTGAACTATCATTCTCTTTGGATGAGTGTTACTCATCTGTATTTTTCTAAATTTTCTATCATACACATGCATAAGTTCAGGATTTTCTCAGTTTCATATAATCTGGCATGCACTTTGGGAAGTTCAGGGAAAAATGCCATTTACTTGCTAGTAAGTTTAGACAAAAATAAAAGAGTCAGGGTAACATGATTCAAGAGGCCCAGATATCTTCATTTCAAGAATGTGGATATTACAATCAGAGAATGTAAGCAAATTGCCCAGGATTACACAGCCAGGTATGGAACTTTACCAATATTATCACCAGCAGTCACTGTGTGCCTACTCTGTGTGGTAAGGCCATGTACTAGGACTATGAAGATAATGATGAAATACCTAAGAAGTTGTTAATCAATGGGAGATAAATACAGGAAAAAATAAGTTGCAATGACTCTGAATTTCTGAATATTAGAACTTGAAAAATGTAGTACCCGAACCAAACTCATTGCTATCAAGTCGATTCTGACTCATAGTGACCCTGTAGGACAGAGTAGGCTGCCCCATAGGGTTCCCAAGACTGTAAATCTTTACAGATGCAGACAGTCTCATTTTTCTCCCATGCAGTGGCTGGTGGGTTCAAACCATCAACCCTTTGGTTAGCAGTCGAATTCTTTAACTACTGCACCACCAGAGCTCCCGATTTTGGTACTACTCCTATAAAACAAAAATTAGGAGACAGAGCCAGGTTCTGTGAGGAAGATGTTAACTTTTAAATGCTGTGATGGAGAACGCTTTTTCTAGGAAACTATTCTGCCTCATGTGCTGGAACATCCATATTAAGTCATGTTAATTAATGTTGTAGATATGATAAAGCTGTTCCTTTAACAAAGAACCAAGTTATTGGCCTTGACCACAGGTACAAGAAGTAAAATGTATACTCTGTTTTTTAAAGGAAAAAGATGACTTACAGGCACTAAAGAGAAACTAATAAATTAAAAAACAAAAAGGAAAATCCACCGAACAGTGAAACGCTAGGTAGTCTCTAACAGGAAGTAAACCCTATAGGCTCTAATTTGGTACAGAGAATAAAGACGCCCCCTTCTCTGATACAGCAGTGCTTCCACATGTGTTTTTGCTATAGGGCAAATGAGTTTTGAAGGTAGTTCACTCATTAAATTTGGCATTTAATGTCCAGCAGTAGAGACTAGATGTTGTGTGTGTGTGTGTGTGTGTGAGTATACGAAAAAAAGGTAGCACAAGTTCCATCAAAGTGCTTTTAGTCTAATTTGAGAAGACAAGGCACCAAACATCACCATGAGGCCATTAATCTAAGGCAAAAAATAAGCAAACTTAAGAATGTGGGATGCAAGTTATTGGAGCAAAGGACACCACATACATAGCCACACATACTTTTTACCTGAGTGGTTAGAATATCACTCTGGGAGGACAGTCCTGATCCGACTTCAGAGAGGTTTGATTCATTCTCATACTCAGATGCTACTTCACCTTAAAGGATAATACAAATAGAGATTCAGATGTAAAAACAAACAGTAAACACCACAATTTCCTGAATCTCTTTCTTCCTACTGGCAAGATATATTCTACTTTTATATCATACAACATGAATTACAGCCCTCACTTTGGGACACCCAAAAGGAAAAAAAGATTTTTCCTTTTAGAAATCAACAGTGAAAACCAGAACAAGTCCAACACCAATTAGGTCAATAGAGCTTATTCAGAGAAGACCTTGATGCTGGGTAACAGACTTTTGACATTTAACGAGAACCACCTTAGGAGAAACATGTTTTAAAGTTTAGGAAGCAGTTACTTTAACTGTACTTGGAAATTCAAAATGTGCCCCCCAAAAAGCAGACACATTTAGCTCATCTATACAAAACAGACTAGGGCAAAAACAAAAACCTGATTCCGATACCTAAGTTTGAATCCACACTCTGGTCATCTTGGTGATTATCCTCCTCAAGGCCAGTTTCCCTTTCGTAATCGTCTGAAACCAATTCTTTATCACTCAGAACAACTTCTTGGTTTTCAGACTGATGCCTCCCTTGTTTGGAAGGAGTATCAAACATCAAGAAAGGATTCTGAGTGTTTGTATGTGGAGTCAAGTCTTCCAACACACTGCACTGTGAAGAAAATAAGCTACTAGAACATCTCACTTCCTCACAAAGGTGATGATCCTGGGATCCCTTTGCCAACGTTACCTGATTACTGCAGTCATTCATGCTATTCTGCATTGATCTTGGGTTCTCTTCTGTGTTTTTAGATAGACATTCTAAGGCATCAGCACTATGTCTGGTAGACTGAGAAGGTACATTGGTTACTTTACCAAATAATAAATGATGGAAGCAGGGAAGCTCTTCATCCTCACTAGATATGTTCTCTTCTGAGGACTCTAATTCCCTGGCACCTCTTACGTGAACCTGAGCCAAACTTGAATGGGAGAAACGGCTCAGGCTCCTTCTGAACTCTCTTTCCTGGTCATCTTTACTAAAAACAGCAGATCTTTCCTTAATGCCACTTACAGCAAAGCTGGTATTTTCCTTTATTTTGTCATCATCTAACAGGTCATCAGGTGTCTCAGAACAAATCTGAGAAGCATGACTGCTTCCCATAGGTTGTCCTAGGTTATCTGAAATCAGACATGAAGAAAAACCTGTATTAACAGCCTGAACTACTCCTTCATTTTGTCCTTGGGTTTTTATTGAAGGATGTTTACAATTACTTATAGGAGGACTTTGTTTATACTCTTCAGGTTGCATAAGACATAATTTGAGCACAGCATTCAATTTAGGTCCTCTGTTCTTACCTAGTTCTGCTTGAATGTTTTCACCACTAGAACCTATTTCATTAACACTGGAACCTACCTCATTAATACTGCTTGAGCTAGCTTCTTTAAAAGCACTTTCCCTAATGTTACTTTGGCTAACTGTGCCCACTGTACTCTGAATGGTGCTCTCATTTCCCATTACTCTTTCATGTGATATTTTCTGTTGCTCAAATCTTTCTTTGGACAGATTTGTCTTACATTTAGCTTTAACAGATGACCTAGTGGGAGAAAGTGATGGTGTCTGATCCAGGTTTTGTGAGACTCCATGTTCATTTGCAGTAATGATTTCAGATTCATTGCCTCTGAATTGAGATGACTGACAAAGTCTAGAGACTCCTTTAATGCTACATTTGGCATAATCACTTGGCTTCTCTTTCTGACAAGCTCCAGCATAGCCTGTAGTTGAAAGAACTAGCTGTACGCACTTGATTTTAGATTCCTCGTTCCCCTGATTTTCTTCTTTTTCTCCACACTCAAGAGTGATGTTTGGACTTTGTTTCCTCAAGGACCTGGAGTGGGCATGGACTGTTGCAAATTCCTTTTCTGGATTTGAAAACAGAGCAAATGACTGACGCTTTGAAACCTTGAATGTATTCTGTAAATACTGAGTATCAAGTTCACTCTCTTCCATTTCTATGTATGTCTCCTGAACGTGGTTATCTTCACCTCTAAATAGATCCTTAAAACCCTCTATGTCATTTCTGGTATCTTTAGGAAAACCATGGCTAAGTTTGTTAGGATTTTCAATTGCTGCACACTGACTTGGTGCTGTTTTTGCCTTCCTTAGGGAGTTAGCTTTCAGTAATAAGATGCTGTCCTGAGTGCTATAATCAGTATCAGGTTTCACTGAAATACTGGTATTCTCCACAGATCTTTCAGTTTGCAAACCTCTTCTGTTTAACACCTCATCCGTAGGATCTCTGGTACTATCAGACACTTGAATTGTTCCCAGGTTCTCTTTTATTTCCTCTTCTTGAAGGCTAGGATTGACAAATTCTTGAAGATTATCAGAACTTGAACAATTAGTAATAAAACCAGTTATGTTTGTTAAATTCAATTTTGGGAAAATGTCAGAGGCGTGTCCTGTACTTATTTGTTCATTTGGCTTGTTACTCTTCTTGGCCCCAGTTGTGGCCTCTTGATCTTTCATGAGTTGCAGGTTTGTATTCTGTCTGATTGGCTTGTGCTCAGAACTTTTTTTCTTTAACTCTTCACTGCTAGGCCAGCTATCAATCTGTAACTCAGTATGACTAGGGGGACTTGGATTCCTATTGACTACTAGTTCAAGTGCATGAATATGCCTGGTAGAGGATTTCCTCCTCAGCTTATTCTTCTTGGATGCCTTTGAATTGTGTGTATTTAATTCTAGTTCCAAATTGCTTATACTGCTGCTTATAGGTTCAGCTTTAGTTCTGAAAACAGATTCTGTTGCCAATGATTCTGTTGGATTTGCACTCTTCTTTTTCTGCATGTATTCACCTTTTGTTGCATTCTCATGACAGCCATCAGCAATATTCTCCTCCTGACCATTTTGTTCCATTTGGTCATTTTCCTGATTTATCTTTTCAGGAGTCTTCTGAACTGCCAAATCTACTTTCTTAATAAAATCCTCAGGATGAAGGCCTGATGTTCTCCTTTTACGCTTTAATTTATTTCCAAGAGGACATTCTCGTGCAACCTGAGGTTCTGTAGCAATAGCTCCTAAAATTAGATCTTCAGTTATATGGCTTATGTTAGGGAGACTCGACTTCCTCCGATAGGTTTTCCCAAATATCTTATCTTCGATGTTACTTTCTGCTGGTTTGGAGAGGACTCTTTCACTTTCACATATTAAAGCAACATGAGGTTCACTGGCCATTAAGTCTATTTTCTCTGAAGAACCAGAGTAACTATGTACTTCATTTGAAACTTCTAATGCACCACCTATTTCTGCATTTGATTCAGACCCTTCATCATGTGAGCCATCCAGGCCATCACTTCTGGAAAACCACTCATTAACTTTCTGAATGCTACTATTCAGTGTTATCCAAGGAATATCTTCAGTATCTCTAGGATTCTCAGAGCATGGAGGTTTCTGCTTATTCACTTCTTTTCTCCCATAAAAGGGATCAGCCTTCATATCTACCTTTTCCCCTGTGCTAAGAGTCTGCCTATCATTACATGTTTCCTTACTTTCAGCCCATCTGCTCTGTTGGCTCCTCACTAAGCCAGGCTGTTTGCTTTTATTACAGAATTCAGCCTTTTCTACATTCATTCTGTCTTTAGTGAGTGATAAACTGCTGTTCTCATGCTGTAACGAGCTGGCATGAGTATTTGTGCCACATGGCTCCACATGCAAGTTTGAAACCGAAGTACCCTGATACTTTTCTGGATGTCTCTCAGTTGCATGCTTCTTAATGGTATTCAAATCTTTATTACTGGATTGATGATATTCAACGTTTGTTAGGTCCTTCTCAGAAAACTCACAAGCAGCTGAAAATATACCAAAAAACAAGGCACTTAAAAACTGAATTATCAGGAAAAAATAAATCCTTAATACAACTTGAGGGTGGAAATCAACCAATTGGCTATTTTTAGGGACACTAACTTCACACTTGACTGCTAATCAGAAGGCTGGCAGTTGAAACCCACCAGCCACTCCTAGGAAGGAAGATGAGGCAATCTACTTCCGTAGTGATACTGCCTCAAAAACCCAAGTAGGGGTCTCTATGAGTCGGGTCCAACTCGACGGCATGTAACAACAACACAACAACTTCATAAACTACCAAGTATACTGAAGATGCAGTCTATACCCTTTTATTTAATTCCTATTTCTCTAGGTTCTCATTATTTCCATTTAAGATAAGTAAAATTTTAATTTCAGAATATTCCCTACTCATAAACCACATCTCCTATTTCCCTAACCTCTAAGAGTAAATTAGAAAGCAGACTGTTTGGGCACCGGATACATAGTGCTCTGTTCTATCTTCAGGCCTACATCTTCTATATTTAAAAACCAGTAGGCAGCAGATAAAATATACATATATCAATTAAAAGTAAAGGGCAACAATCAGTTACATAGGGTACTATCATAATCTAGTACCACTGAAATATATCAGGCTGTACCATGACATCTGAGAAAGAAGGAAATTCTAACTCTGCCAAGTGATGCTGTGAATTACAAATGTCTCAAATGCCCTTCAGAATAATCTATTTACAAGATTGCATGTACCTACTCTCTTTAGTGCGTGTTAAGTTGGGAAGACTTGCCATTACCCTTTCTCGTAGGATCCAAACTGGCTTCGGCCCTGGCTCCTTGAGGGGCAATTTGTAACGATTCTTGGTCTACCACACTATAGGGAAAAGACAGAAGCGCTAATGAGAAAGACTAGTTACATTTTTACAAAATTGTCAAATGAATAAGATCAAATACTTCAGCTCCTTCAAGGAGCTCTGGTGGCATACTGCACTCGACCACAGTGAGTATGGTTTTTTTGCTTTCGGTAGAATAGTACTAAGTTGACCAATCTGATTAATTCTTTGAAATCTGTCCTCTCCTGTTGGGCAATCTACTTCCGTAGTGATACTGCCTCGAAAACCCAAGGAGGGGTTGAAATGAAATGAAATGAAATGGTCAAAAACTGAGAACACAGTCACAAAAACCAGAGCAGGGCCAGGAGGCGGGGCAAGATGGCGGACTAGGCAGAAGGATTGCACAGACCCTCTTCAACAAAGAAAAGGGAAACCAATTAACACA